AAAGTTCACGATAGCATGTGTGTTTCTCCTATAGTACCTCACAATAACATTTTTTTTAATATAAAACGTACCTACTATTATTAACATCGTAATATTGTTAACAATCAAAAGTTTCAATAAATATGATACAAGCATTTCAAATGTTAATATAATGTACCTATTTAAAAAAGTAAAATAGAATATTTAATTATATTTAAGAAATAATAAAGATGTTATATATGTTTTGTAATCTATGATTTAATTATAGAAATTTCAAATGTTGACTTTATTTTACAAAGATCCTTAAGAATTCGAAGTATGCATTTCAAGTGTCAATTTACCTTGGCATTGGTAGTGGTGCTCGAGGTCTCAGGAACGCGGTCAGTGACATACATATGTTATACTTTCTTATTATTTACTAAAACTTTTTAAATTTACTTTTATGGTTTGTTATCATGCCTGTATTAAATATTGACAGAAATACTAATGTATAAAGATTAAAGAGAAATGAAAAAGCTAAATATATAAATATTTATTTCATTTAAACTATCATTTTTGAATAAAATGTAATAATAAATTTTTATATGAAAAAGAATTTATTATAAAAAAATAATAATATTATTTCATATTCATATAATATTACATACCTACTACCATTTCCCGCGACTCCACCCGCGTTCAGATGACCAAAAACCAAATTCTTAGGTTTTACATATTAGTATACTATTAAATAGCAGTTTTTGTATTTTTTCTCAGAAATGAGATATTTTCCCGCGGTAAAAAGTATCCTATATGTTGACCCGGATATCCAGCTATCATCATACCAAATTTCATCCTCCAGTGGTTTTTCTGTGATGCGGTAACAGACAGACAGACAAAAATTCTAAAAACTATAGATTCGGCCTCTGTATCGATAATAATGTCTATTTTAACAAGATTTTCCAAAAAATATTTAATGTACAGATTTGGCTTAGTTACAATTTTATTATACGTATAGATTATCATTTCATAATAACATTAAATATTCGTTAACAATAAATAATAAATATATCTATCACAAACAGATATGTATATGTATCTATTTCAATATACGAGTATGTACGTAGGGCATGATTAGAGAAATCGTAAGTAGGAAAATAAAATGTAGGTTGTATATACATATGTATTTTATATCGGAACAATACAAGCAAAGTCTCTTTATCGCAAAAATGGAATATATACCTAACAGAAGCGCGATTGTGAGATGACCAATATAAACAAAAGCGGCTGGTACATAGCCGGTGTCACTTGTGCCGCGTCTCGCAACTCACGCGCATCCCGTAGTTATTAACGCGACTGTGAAATTGCCAAGTGAATTGAACTGTGGAATTTATTTTCTTTGGTATGTTATACATATTGAATTTTATATATTTTTAATGGTTAATAATGTATAATTATAAATATTTTTTTATAAGTAATTAGGAAATATTTACGAGAAAATTGAAAATTAAAAATCTTTACTTAGGTATACCGAAGCTTAAATATTTTTATTAGGAAATAAGGTTTATATTAAATATTTTTTTATACTTAATAATTGAAAAAGTATCATCATAGTTGTCGTACTTTAGTTATGTATATATACATAAAGTGTAATTTATCAATAATAATATATGTACATATATTGTATACCACGGTATTGAATCAAAGGTAGAGAGGCCAATATGCTATAACTACTAATAAATAATAAATAAAACGCTTTCAAACATTCAAAAATGACACCAATGACACCAATCTATATAGATAAAAATGAATGTTGGTAATCGCATACCTCAAGAATGGCTGGACTAATTTGGCAAATTTTTTTTTCGTATGTTTCTTAAGGTCCACGGAAGATTTTAATAAATAAAAAATTAACGAAAAAACAATAAAATTTATATGGCTTACGCTGGCTAATAACTATTCAGTATTTATATCTATTTAAAACGTACCTAGCGACAAACTCGAACGAAGCGAGGGTGAGTCGTTGGTTTTAATAAAAATGTACCAAAGTACCTTAAATATTTGTTGCTTTTAATTCTAAACATTGTAAATTTTTTAATAATTATTATAATTAAATATAGCAATATTATAAATACTAGCTATCGTCACATGGGCGTATAAGGTGAAAAATTTATTCACTGTTCATTACTTTTCTGTTATACAGTAATTCTTGCAGTAACGATACGGCCAAGCCACATATTTTGAATAAGGTGTAGGGCTTGTGAAGTTAGGGCTTGTAGAGTAAGGACGTGTAGAGTTAGAAGCTTGGCTCTACATGAGATCTGATAACTTTTTGACAGTGCGATCTATATGGTCTCGTCTTAGCAACATTTTACATAAAAATGGCTTTAGCGGGATATTCATATTCTACGAACATCATCTTTAGTGGTTACTAATCTTGTGGGCGTTATCAGGGCTTAAATAATAATTTATTCAATGCTCAATACAATTTAATAAGGGAAATCACAATGTTTCTAATACTTTAAGTGAGCAGCGGGTTCTCGACACCGATCATACTTCGACATTCAATATCAAAACGCAACTCTCCATTTTTTTTTAGTGTCGGGAAATACAATTACGCATACCACCTGATCCCCCAGGTGGTGATGTGGGGCTCACCGGCTAGAAGAGCCGGTACTACCCACTAAACCCGACATTCCCCTCCCCTCCGCCTTAATGGGACGCCGCAGGATCGCTTGCGCAAAAACACAACTCTCCATGCTCAACCATTATCAACTACACAACTTAAGCGAATTTCATGACAGCGTCACGACCCCGCTCGAGATGTAGCCTTTGCTCGATTCGAATTAATGATTAGAGCAAAATATATTATTTATTTTTTTATTTGAAAGTCATATCAGCCATAAAACTTTTAGGTCCTACATAAATCTCTTTGGCTCTACAAGTATGTAGTACCCACTACTTTGATGGTTTTCTAAATTCTTTAGCTTGTTTCTTTTGTGATAGCAGCAATGCGAGCGAAGCCGCTGGTAATGGTAGTCTCTATATATATATATTTTTATTGGTAATCCATAAGTACCTTGTATTTTAAAAAGTAGGTACTCATTAAATGAATCGTACGATAACAATAAAAAAGAAATACTATCATTGTAAAACGATGGAAGAAAAAATATATTAGTAGCTTATTATAAAAAAATATAGTAGTAGTAAATACTTTAGTAGCCTAAAATTAATAACGTACTTATTTATTTTGATAAGGTAAAACAGCAAAGATAAACTAGAAGTGTAAAAATATATTGAATACAATATATTGATTAATTACGTTTAAACTTTATATTAAGTAGATCAAAAATATAAAAAAACAAAACTAAAAAGCCGCTACAAAATATTTCGCATGTGTCTGTCTGTTTGTTCCGATTTTGAACTAGTAACTTAAATTACTTCTATTTTAGAATAAGAATGAGGGTTTCGCGCAAAAAATTAAAACCTATGAAATTCCGAAATCCGTGTACCTAGGGCGCATCTGAGCAAAACGAGTCTCTAGTCTATACTATAATAAAACAGTAGAGGTCGAATGCCTGTACACAGCAAAAAAATGGTAAAAGCCGAGTCAGGGGGATGTAAGAAGACAAATAGAACATATCTAACACTCGTTATAACTATTTTCATTATTATATACTCGTATTACTGTTTTATTATACGTTATTTATTCTATCTATAAATATAATAAAACTGTAGAGGTCGAATGTCTTGTACATAGAAAAAAAATTGCTAAAAATCGAGTCAGTTATCTTCTTACATCCTGTAAGACGAAAAATAGAACAAATCCAGATTTTTTCAATTGTTTTGTTTCTCCGTCTGTTTGTCTGTTTGTACGGGCTAATCTCCGAAACTATTGGACCGATTTATATGAAATTTTGCATGGTCGTACCTTATATCCCCGGTCGACATGTAAGATACTTTTCATTCCGGAAAATTAATGAGTTCCCTTGGGTTAGTTAAAAAACTTTAGTAACTTATACAGCTTAGTACACAACAACTTATGTACCTAATTAAGTAAAATTTGGCATGCTGATACCTTATATTGCTGGTCAAAAAACAGGTTACTTTTCATCCCGGAGAAATGAACGGTTCCCGTGGGAACTAATAGATCTCTACTAGTGTTTTTCTAGAGGCGAACCCGAGCGAAGCGAGGGTGAGCCGCTAGTAAGTAATAAGATAGAAAAGGAAACAAGTATCCAAACAAGTTCTACATAAAGTTCAAATAAATATAATAGGTATAAGAAAATTTATGTAAAAACTTAGAAAACATTATCTGTGAAAAATATGAAATAGCACATTTTTCGATTGTTATTATTTTTATATAGTAAACTTAATGAAATATTTTTTATGAATTTTAATTCTAGTACTCGAAGAAAAATGTTGATCTCTAAATGTTTTGTATTCAACTTATTTTTTTGAAACATTAACGGTTTTTGTGTTACCCACAACCATTATATTTTTTATTTGAGATCATTGTGTTAATGGCAATTATAATATTAAAAATACCCTTGTTACTTAAAAAGTGTACTAACAAGATATTCGTTTTTATATATTATTAATTAATAACAAACAATAGAACTAATTAAACATTAGGTTGTTTCATTTATGATCTTTGCTTTCCAATAGTGGAACATTATTATACAATGCTTAGTGCTTACATTAGGCGCTTGAAATCAATAATAATAATAAAAACACGTGTGTGTGTTCTTATGTACGTAAGAAGTTATACTTATTTGGCGTAACAGAACAAAAATAGCTAAAAATTTCATCCCGTATGTCACAACTCTCTGTTTGTAAAAGGAATGCAGTTAACTTCATCAGGTCGCTTTTTCGCTGTCGGGCGCACCAATCGAAAAAATTTTACTCTCATAATTTTTCCAAGCGTGCTAAAAGAAGTAAAACTTCAAAAATTGTTAGAAATCCGAAATATATACATGAAAATTAAATAATGAATATTTTATGATTTTTTTTTTCAGATTTGGCAAAGTTCTTAAGGAAATATGATACGGGCAGCTGAGGTAAGATAAAATATATATTAGTTTAGAACACATTCATCATCGTTTATTCATATGAGTATATAAATGTATGTAAAGTAAAAATATATCTAATAAATAAGATCTGTAAATCTTGCTATATATTATTATTTATTACAAATAGCCTTCAATTCCACCCTTATACACCCCATATTATCGAGATAAAAATGCAATTGATTTAAGATATTCATGTGATTTTTATTTATTATAAAAATATTTTAAAGAGATGTAAGCAAACCATGACTTAAACTTAAACTTAAACCATGCCTCTGTGTTATGTATACATCTACACCAACAAATATAATTGAAGTGTGTGTTTGTGATGTCAAAATAATAAATAAATAAATATGTTGGGGTATTAACACACCGCACCATCTGGTTATATGGTAAGCTACGAGGCATGTGTTATAGATACCAGACAGTTGATACACTACATATATATATAACTTTAAATACATACATATTATAAATATAAACACCCATGACTGGAGTACAAACGTTCGTGCTCACCACAAAAATGAATGCCACCAGCGGGACTCGAACCCGCGACCGCACAGCAAGTAGGGTCACTACAAACTGAGCCAAACGTGTCGTATAAGGTAATAGTTTTTTTACTAAATGCACATTATGCACTTACTTACGTTGTGTCTGTCTGTTTGTTCCGATTTTGAACGAGTAACTTAAATTATTTCTATATTAGAATAAGAATTAGGGTTCCGCGCAAAAAAATAAAACCTATGAAATTCCAAAATCTGCGTACCTTTTTTTTTTTTAACGTTGGGAAATGCATTTACGCACGACGTGTGGGACTCACCGGCGTAATACAGCCAGTACTACCCACTAAAACCCAACAAAACCTTCCCCCGTCTTAATAGGGCGTCGCAGGATCGCTTACGCATTCAACTACGACGCCCCGACGGCAGGTCTGCCGAAGCAGACCACCACAACCATGGGGTTGCTCCAAGGTCCACTCTGCTATCAGAGAAGTACCAGGAGCAACCCGCAAGGTACACCGCCCCCCGAAGTGGGCCACCTCCCACCGCCCACCGAAGTGGGCAACCTCCCTGTGCGTTTCTTAGCTTCGCTACTACTACTGAGCCCCCCCACCACGACAAGGTGAACGCACGTTGGGGGGGAAAATCTGCGTACCTAGGGCATACCTAAGCAAAACGAGTCTCTAGTAAGAAATAAGATAGAAAAGGAAACAAGTATCAGAACAAGTTAAACATAAAGTTCAAATAAATATAATAGGTATAAGAAAATTTGTGTAAAAACTAAGAAAACATTATCTGTGAAAAATATGAAATAGCACATTTTTCGATTGTTATTATTTTTATATAGTAAACTTAATGAAATATTTTTTATGAATTTTAATTCGAGTACTCGAAGAAAAATGTTGATCTCTAAATGTTTTGTATTCAACTTATTTTTTTGAAACATCAACGGTTTTTGTGTTAACCACAACCATTATATTTTTTATTTGAGAACATTGTGTTAATGGCAATAAATCACGTTAATACATTTGGTCATTACTAAGTTTACGGTCAAGGTCTTACTTGAAAAATGAAATATCAGATAAGATTAAAGTTGCTGATTTTATTTACATATTTATCTATTTATGTACTAGTACATTTTTTAAATGTAAATTTTTAAGTATCAAACAAAAATGAACGTATAAATGTAACAAAAACATTTTTAATGACTCGCAACCACTTTTGCGGCCACTTTTACATAGGTTGACGTAGTTTATCACGTACAGAAAAAAATTAGATTTAATTTGATATATAAATGATAAACATACGCGATGAACGTATAAACTTCCAAAAATATGACCCGATTACACCTGGCTGCGAAGAGGTTGCGGCCAAATGTGAAGTGGAGTATAATTCATTGTAATAATTAATGCATCGTTTTTGTTCCAAAAAATCGTCTATTATTTAGTTAATTAAACATACTAGCGGGCACATACGAATAGGCACCCCGGTCAAAACTTATTGTCCCTTTTATATTAAATACGCTATGAACGACTAATCTTGCAGCGGGATCTCGATCCAATACGATGACCCAAGACGTGAGAGATCAGGCGCAGCACTCATAGCATTTTTTGCCTAGTCACTTGTGCTCTAATTTATGTTATATTTTTAAGTGGAAACTTTGCTGGTTTATGTATTATTTATATCTAATTAATTCTAAGTATTATTGTCCTGTATGTTTCCCAAATATTTTAAAAATATAAAAAAAATAAAAATATAGCTTTAGATACTCTCCGAGGCAAGGGAGTGAAACACCGACAACACTTTTTTTTTAACTTGACCCGTCCCGGGTCTCCGGATACGTATTACACGCCAACAACTAGACCATCGAGGCAGATAGTAGACACATACACTCGCCGGCATATTTAGCGGAACAGAAAAAAAGGTCCATTATTAAAAAAATATGGTTTTATTTTAAAATCTACTTACTACACTTCTTTTGTTATTTAAAGTTTCATTTGTTTTACTTAAAATGAGATCACATTAAAAACAGATTTTGCGAGTATAGGCTGTTTTTGAAAAATGGTACATTTTTGAACTTTTCATATAACCGGGAAAAGTGAAAATTAATATTAAAATAACAATTAATTAAATTAGAAAAATGGTGATCAATATCGCGTATTTCCTCCACGTGCTCTTATTAAAGTTTCTACCCGTCTAGGCATACTGAGAATGATGTTATCGATGGTCTCCCGGGATAGTCTCCGCCATTCCTCAACTACGGTGATTCGCAGTTCACCCACGTTGGCAGGAGCTGGAATTCTGGACCTAACTTTTCTTTTCAGCAAGTCCCAAACGTGCTCTATTGGGTTCATATCTGATGATCTCGCCGACCACTCCATAACAGTGATATTCATATCATTAAGATAAGCTTGAGTTACCCGAGCGGTATGCGACTGAGCATTATCCTGCATAAAAACAAAACCGTTACCGATATATGGGGCAAACGGTACGACATTTTCTTCTAAAACTTCTCTGATATAGCGGTCTGCAGTCAGACTCTCTCTGTCAATCACTACCAAGTCTGTGCGAGCTCCCAAACAAATGCCCGCCCTAACCATTATTGATCCACCACCGTATGCAACTGTAGTTTCAAAGTTTGTCTGAATGTATCGTTCTCCTTTGCGGCTGTAATTCTTTGCCTGCCGTCAATTTGATTTAAGAGAATTCTACACTCATCACTAAACAATACCTTACTCCATTGGTCCGCATTCCAAAGTCGATGTTCCTGAGCAAAAGTTAACCTGTTTCTACGATGATTTACCTCGAGCCTTGGAGCCTTGGCGGGCACAAATGAACCCAAACCAGCTTCTTCGAACCTTCTTCGTACCGTATGCTCACTTACGGTTACACCCCGCACTGCTTCTAGCTCATGTCGGGCTTGGACGGCTGTCAAACGGGGGTTCCTACGTACACGAAGCCGAATGAAACGGTCATCCCTACTCGAAGTGCGTCTTTTTCTGCCTTGTCCTGCTTTTCTCACACAAGTACCGGTCTCCCTGAACCGTTGGATACTGCGATGAATCGTTGAAACTGGTCGACGAAGATCTCTGGATATCACTCTGTAGGTTTGACCATTTCTTCGCATTTCGAGTGCCCTGGCAATCTCCGTTGGGTCTAAGTCAGGCATAATTCAGTCCTCAACTCCAAAAAGATACGCGATTAAAAAAAAACTAACAAAAAACAATATTTCAATGAAATTTTAAATCAAACTCAGAAGGAAGAAATACTCGAAGTTCGCTCCAGATAAGGTGTATTTGAATAAAATTAAAACAATTGCATAAAATGTGATGTTCAGTTGTTTTCTTAATTTGAAAATATTTCTTTTTAAATTAAATGACGTATAAACCAGCCAGCAACCTTATATGATACTGATATCAAACCTTTATTTTATGTTCCGCTAAATATGCCTGTGTGTATATATGTAGGTATGACTACCGTATTCAAATTCGCCTATTTATTAATAACATCGCGACGAAAAGATAGAAACATAATATACTTAGATAAGATGAATAAGCAAATCTCGGAACACGGAATTATTAGTAACATAGAAGTGATGTTAATGCGGTTGGAAAAACCAAGATTGTGTCATGAGTTTAGATATGATCATGCATAAATTTTTATATTATATAGACAAAAATATTGATTTATTATGAGTCATAGCTACTGTAATATTGTATGTATGTATTCAGCCCTTTTTAACGTCCAACTGCTGGGCGCGGGCCTCCCTTTAATACGAAGGGGATCAGGCCATAGTCCACCACGCTGGCCAAGTGCGGGTTGGCGGTCTTCAAATGTCTTTCGAAAACTCGCTAGGTTCTCTCAGACATGCAGGTTTCCTCATGATGTTTTCCTTCACCGTAAGGCAAGTGATAATCATGGTAAAAATGATTCGAACATGAAAATATTTACCGCTTCACTCGGTTTCCAAGCGAACGCGTTACCACTGGACTATCACTGCCTCTGTACACTACTATTAATCTAAGGCTAGTCTACTAATGTTCTATTAGTCTACAGGTAATACATATATATATTAATTCAAAATTTCTTCAATTTGCAAATTTATTTAAAATGTGTCTAACTGCTTAGTAAGTATGTGTATCGATCCTTTCAGTTCATAATATAATACATTAAGGACTTGCATGCATTTTTACTGCCTGAAATTTAACCATAGAAACTCAAGATTTAACAAAATATAGATAGATAGAAAAGAAAATATTCTTTAAAAAAAGACTGTGCCTTGATTATAAATAAGTTGCTATATATTAAATTTAATATTTTTAAACACAATGTAATTAACATATACTTACTTTTAAAACCTATATTGTAAATGGGAAATATTAAAAGTTTCACAATACTATTATTGTGAAACAAACATGGGCCTAATGAGACTTAGGTAAAGAATAATGCAGATATTTATGACATTTAATTACATACTGTAGTTTAGAAAAATGTAACCATTGTATTTTATGAAAATAATAACTAGAACTATGATTATTATTAATATAATATACTAGCGATTCACCCTCGCTCCGCTCGGGTTCGTCCCTGCTTACGTTTTAATGTCTAGTGTAGATTTTTCAGAGTTGAGATGTTTTCCGGCAGTAAAAAGTTTTCTATATGTTGACCCGTATAATTATTAGCTATCATCATACCAATTTCATCAAAATCCCTCTAATGGTTTTTCCGTGATGCGGTCACAGAAAGAGAGACCGACAGAGAAAAATTCTAAAAACTATAGATTCGGTCTCTGTATCGATAATAATGACTATTTCAATAAGATTTATAAAAATCTGTAATGTACAGATTCGACTCAGAATTTTATTATATGTAGGTATAGATAATAGCATTGAATAATCAATGAAACCATATACATACACTAATGTAAAAATATCAAGAACATTTCATGCTATGTGCGAACATTGTACGGTACATTGTTTTTCAAATATTAGTATTATAAAAGTAATACTCGTAGCGTAAAAAAACTATAACGGGCATAAATACTCGAGGATGCAAGTATTTCTAAAAAAAATGTGTGTCTAACGTAACAGTTAGTAAGGCATTCCTTAGTATTATTTTAGTCGTAATATAAATGAATACTTCCTTTTGGAAAATGTACCCTCTAAGTCGCGCCCTGCTCAGTGTAGAGCTGTGTTTCCACTATACACGTTTCTATATACATACGTTATTAAAATAATTTATCATATTTTCAGTCATGTGCTTGCCCTATTCGGGAGGTTCCTAGCCCGTCCATCGTAGGATCCTGTCCAGGCCAGTTCATCCTCTTCATGAGCATCTTGGAGACCTTTATCAACGGCAGATGCGACCTGGCGGACCCCTGTAACCGTGTAATCAGCATTGAGGAGCCGGATGAACGCTACGACTTTGTAGTGATCGGGGGAGGCACTGCAGGTGCGGTGGTCGCGGAGAGATTATCCGAAAATCCACAGTGGAAGGTAATTTGTGTTATGAGTCTATAAAATCGTACTTTTTGAATATGTTCAATACATATTTAGAAATTATTTTTATACAAGGTATTAATTACTATTGGTAAAGAAACAAAATAGTAAGTTTTGGAATTTTTATCGCCAATAACCTCGGCCTACTTATGTTAGAACACTTTATAAAGAAAACTAGACCTCAGGGGAATGGGGATACAAATTTTATAGAAATTATGTTGTTACATGTAAATTATAGGTTGAATTCAACTCTAAACTGAATTGAACATATCCGCGATACAACGTTTGAAACTTTAAAACTTAAACTTTTAAAGCTTAATAATAATTAAATGACTTACTATACAGTTTCTACTCTCTTAACGTCGTCGTCTTACGTCTCGTAGGCAGTGGTAGCCCAGTGGTAACGCGCTCGCTTGGGAAACCGAGTGAAGCGGGTTCAAATCCTGGGTCTCGCACCTCTGATATTTTCATGTGCGAATCATTTCTAACATGATTACCACTTGTCTTAACGGTGAAGGAAAACATCGTGAGGAAACCTGCATGTCTGAGAGAACCTAGCAAGTTTTCAAAAGACATGTGAAGTCCGCCAACCCGCACTTGGCCAGCGTGGTGGATTACGGCCTGATCCCCCTCGTACTGAAGGGAGGCCCGTGCCCAGCAGTGGGACGTTAAAAAGGGCTGAATACATACATACATACACAGTTTCTACTTTATACCAACCTACCTACTACTCGTATTACAATATATCGTTATGTATTTATATTATATGCATTTTCTGATACTCGATTGCAAAATAAGATTATTCTTCTAGACAACTCAAGGTTAAAAGTTTTACTCATGGTTTTCACTAATACCAAGATTTAATCAAGATAAAAAAATTATTATTAATCACTTTTCCGCATAGTCGGTGGTCCGATAATTATGTTTGTATAAGTATATTCTCATCTACAATAGCATTATGATAATTGTATAATGCATTGATATAATTTTCTCTACATTGTGTAAGAGCTATGGAACAATAGTTGTAATTAATAGTTTTAATAAATTGGTCACTTAATGTTAATTAAATCTGTTGAAATTTATAATTTCTTACATGTAAGTACCAAGGAACAATACAGCAAATAATAGCTGTAAGGTTACGCATCGCACTATGACCTATGAGAGCGGAGTAATATTACAAAATTGTACGACGCGTGTGGAGCCAGTTTTAGCTTTTATATTCATACATATAAAATTATATATTATAAATTATTAATAAAAAAAATTTAAAATCCCCTAAGCAAATTAATTGTCATTTAACGATTATCCTGGCACGCGTGAAGCACTTAATCGAGTAATCATACGCCAAAATGCTTTATATCATTTTGGAAAAGAGCTGATACTCTTACACTGCTAGACGATATTAACCAAACATAGCTAAGAAACACCGCAAGGAAACTGGCTTTCAAATGAAAAACGCATCGAAATCGGTCCATCCGTTTGAGAGTTACGATGCCACAGAGACGTACACACACACACAGACGTCAAACTTATAACACTCCTTTTTTTGTGTCGGGGGATAAAATTTTTACGTAAATAGTAAATAATACAATCATTTTCAGGTACTGCTTATAGAAGCGGGAGGAGACGAGCCTGTTGCGTCTTCAGTCCCTGCATTTGTAACCGCCTACTGGGGCCAGAACGAAACCGATTGGAATTACTACACTGAACCACAAGCAAAAGCGTGTTTATCTTCCAACGGAATGTGTTATTGGCCAAGGGGAAAGATGCTTGGTAAGTATAAGTTTTTTGTTTCACGTTTTAAAGGTTTTATATACCTTTTGTTAAACACAATCTTTATAAAATTACTCGGACCTCTGTCTGTCACAGGCTTTCTCAATCAAATCAGTAATATTTAGTGCATTTAGGTATATATTGGAGCCAAATGAAAGCTCGACTTGCAGAATTACTCATTTATTTCATATTTAGAACCGTTAGGCGATTGCAAAGGAAGAGTATTACTATTTTGATTTACATGTTGCCCGTTTGGCTGTTGCACAGGAAAGCGAGCGATGATATTTAAAGTTACGTATTTATACCATTGATTAGCGGCAGATTAAATATAATAGCAACAAACCATAGACATTTGAAATTACAATTTATACTAGAATTTTAATAATAATTAATCTATACAATATATTGAAAGGCAGTGGTAGCCCAGTGGTAACGCGCTTGCTTGGGAAACCGAGTGAAGCGGGTTCAAATCCCGGATCACGCACCTCTGATATTTTTATGTGCGAATCATTTCTAACACGATTACCCTTTGCCTTACGGTGAAGGAAAAACATCGTGAGGAAACCTGCATGTCTGAGAGAACCTAGCAAGTTTTCGAAAGACATGTGAAGTCTGCCAATCCGCACTTGGCAGGTACAATGTAATAGAATAAATAATTATATATATATATGCAACAATAACACCAGATCACTAGGTAATTGTGATTTATTATCCATAATAATGCAAAATATATACATAAACATGATAATTAATAAAGAACATCATACATCAAGATTATTTTGTGTTTTACGTAGTTGTTATGTAGGTATATTAATATAATATTAAAATAACTTATACAACAGTTTTCCGTCTTTGAAATTCACGGTTCGATTCCTCTACGAGTAGGGAGGTATACCCATAGACACCTTTTTTTCTCAAAATACAACGTAGAATAATAAAATATTAAATCATTTTTGTCCAAATATGGTATATAAGTTCCTATATTCTCGGTCTAGCCATTCTAAAGGACAGACATTTTAATTTTAATAATATGAGTAGCTATTAGGTAAGTACTGTCAGCACAACTGCCTCGGTGGTGGTGGACCACGTAAAGCCGTCGGTCCTGCACCTTAACTCTCACTGATCGTGTCGAGCAGTCGTCCCACCAGGGTATGAGAGTGACAGGAATAGAGAGTGCACTTGTGTCTGCGCATATACTTGTGCACTATAATATCTCCTGCACAGTTGGCTAGTCTCAATGAGATTGGCCGCCGTGGCCGGAATCGGTCAGGAGAACATCATCACTGTCAACACATTTTATTACATTGGTTAATTTCTAAAACTTTTCGATTAAGCTCTTCTTGTATGTATGTATGTACAGTTCTAACTTCTGACATTGTTGTAATTTTGGTGTCTTATGGGTTATAATAATTAAGTAAAATGAGGTATTTTATGTATACAGGTGGATGTTCAGTGATCAACGGGATGATGTATATGCGAGGTAATCCTGCGGATTACGACGGTTGGGCAGTTAACGGAGCGTACGGCTGGTCTTGGTTTGAAGTTCTACCTTACTTCCTCAGGAGCGAAGATAATAAAGAGATACATAATGGAGTATCTGGATATTATCATGGCACTGGAGGTACCATACCGGTACAAAGGGTAAGAAAAATACGGTTTCATTATTTTGACCAATTATTTAATCTAATATTTTTTTTTTGAATAGTTAGGTACCTACTTGTTATTGGGTGCTATCAAAAATTACTATTTTAAGATTACTGTAAGAATAAAGAGGATGTTTTGATAATAATTTAATAATAATTATTAAACTGAATACAATATTGCAGGCTACAGCTATCCGTAATACACACAATTGTTATTTAAGTGCGTGTGTATATATAAGTCACTTTACACCGTCATCGATTCGCTTTCGCCTTTGTACCTAGTCGCGTTTTGCACACAGAAGTCCGCGTTATAGCACAGCAAGGACATTAACTGGGATGAATTACTTACTATCATTTCTTTAACAATAAATGATAGTAATTTATCCCATAAATCCCTAATAAATATGAAATTGCCATTTAGAAATTGATATGCAATAATTTATCATGTTCGTAACAAAACAAAAAAATGACGTTGCTTGCGAGAGCTATTATGAGAAAAAGAGAAAGTTGAAGAAAATTTATTTTTAAAAAGGAATTTTGAATGTGGAAAAATATATTGCATTAAATTGTATTTCTATACTAATATTATAAAGAGGTAAAGTTTGTGATCTTGTGAGTTTGTGAGTTTGTGACGTTGTAGGGGGTAATCTCTGGATCTACTGAACCGATTTTCAAAATTCTTTTACCAATAGAAAGCCACGTTCTTTCTGAGTGTCATAGGCTATATATTAACCCGAAAAATGAAAAGGTTTTTTCGTGGTAGTCGCATTTGCAAAGTAAGTCGGAGAAAAAACGGTCGAACGAAAACGTTTCTTACGAACGCTGCCTTAACGATGAGAGATATATGATTATGTTCTAGAGGAAAGTTGTAGAGCTTAATAATGCCTACAAAAAAGTCAACGACAGCATATGTCTAACTTTTATATTTAAGTCACAAAAAGTAGTTTTTTATATTAAAAAAATAATTTAAATCGATAGGTCATAATTATTGGTCATATTATCAACAGTTATGAATTCTTATCAAAATAAGTAAATTTATCGTCTAAAATGTTTAAAATAAACTTTTCCATTTTACTGCATATAATTTGGACGAATGGTTAAAGATATAATACAACATATTCGTATGTATAGACGAACCCGAGAGAGCTGTTTATCTGTTTTTCTCTTTGTACGGGCTAATCTCCGGATCTATTGGACCTATTTAAATGAAATTTTGCATGGTGGTACCTTATATGCCCGGGAAACATCTTAGAAAATCTTTTCATCCTGGAAAATTAAAGGGTTCCCGTGGGATAGTTAAAAAACTATAACAACTTATACACAAAAACTACTGATTGGATTTTAATGAAACTTTGCAATAATATAGTTCATACATGCCAAAAACAAATCAGCTACTTTTCATCCCGGAAAATTAAAGAGTTTCCGTGGGATAGTCAAAAAACTATAGTAACTTATACAGCTTAGTACACAAAAACCACTGATTGGATTTTGATGAAACTTTACAATAATATAGTTCATACATCAGAATAACAAATAGGTAACTTTTTATCCCGGAAAAATGTACTTTTCCCGTGGGATAGATGTTTTTGTTTATTTGTAACGTATTATGTACACAACATAGACCCCAAAACAATAGTTATTAAAAAAAATGTCTGTTTGTCTATTTGCCTGTATGTCTGTTTGTCTGTTTTTGTGTGCGCGTTTCACGCAAAAAGTAATGTACCAATTTCAACGAAATTTAGTGAAGAGATAACTTATTAGTCGAGTCAACATTTAGGGTACCTTTTGTATGTATGTATGTATGTATGTTGTATTCAGCCCTTTTTAACACACGCACGGGCCTCCCTTCAGTACGAGGTGGATCAGGCCATAGTCCACCACGCTGGCCAATATCAGAGGTGCTAGACCCGGGATTTGAACTTGCTTCACTCGGTTTCCCAAGCGAGCGCGTTACCATTGGGATACCACTGCCTAGATACGTTTTACTTAAAGAAAATCTTTCTTTCAAACGGGAAAATACAATAACTGGTTCTATCAAATTGCCCTTAGAAATTTATACGGCTAACGTTGGCTCAACCTTAAGAGATAGATCAAAACATTGTACAAGAACATTGTAAGTCTTAAAAAGGTCTATAGAAAAGTTCTACATAGTATATGTCTATCTCCTAAGGTACACTCGCATGCGTGTTTTCATTATTTTATATTTCTGTTTTATTATACGTTATTTATTCTATCTGAGTATAGGTACATAATATATGAATAATAAAACTGTAGAGTTCGAATGTCTGTACATAGATGGTAGAAAAAATTGCTAAAAAACGAGTCAGTTCTCTTCTTACATCCCGTAAGGAGAGAAATAGAACAAATCCAGATTTTTTTGTTTCTCTGTCTGTTTGTCTGTTCGTACGGGCTAATCTCCGATACTATTGAACCTATTTAAATGAAATTCGATACTTTTCATTCGGGAAAATTAAAGAGTTCCCGTGGGATAGTTAAAAATTTATAGTAACTTATACAGCTCAGTACACAACAACTTATGCACCTAATTTAGTAAAATTTATCATGCTGATACCTTATATTGCAGGTCAAACAACAGGTTACTTATTTTTATCCCGTAAAAATGAACGGTTCCCGTGGTATAGATCTGTTTGTGCTTTTCTAGAGGTGAACCCGAGCGAAGCGAGGGTGAGCCGCTAGTATTTAATAAAATTATAAAAGTAGTAATGCTTTTCCCCTTGCTTATTATACAGTATAAAATCATTATACAATATAAATTACCCCGCCTATCGTTATTGGTTAGATTAATTATCTATAGGGGCATTTCATATGAAGCGGACAGGAAAAAAAAGTGAAGTTAGGAAATTTGTTCATATGCAAGTTATATATACCTCTAGTAGGTATGAAAGTGGATACGTAATATATTTTTTCTACGATGTTTATTTTTAAAGTTATGGGCCTTTGAAAAATAATCATAATCCAAATGTCGATGTTTTAGATTTAGTTTTTCGAATGGAGAAAAAATACAAACTTGGCGTTTTGTATAGGTTTTTAGTTGTTATTTTTAATAAAGAAATAATTTTTTTGAAATTTAAAAAAATATATGTACAAAACCGGAAGTGAAAATTTCAAAACAATTTTTTGATCACTTTGACCCATCATCAGTTTAACCCACGACAAAAAAAGAGTGGTGTTATAGGTTTCTTGTGTGTATGTGTGGTATGTCTGTCTGTAGTATGGCTCCGTATTGCTCAAATGCGTGCATCCGAGTGCGGTTTGTTTTAATCGAAAGCTTTGACCTTTAAGATCAAAGTTAGCTATGTTTAAGGAACGTTGGACCAGGGGCAGTAAGTAGTAAGACAAGCTTGTAAAAATTAGCAAATAATAAGCCCTAAGTTTTCAGAGCTTAAACTCGCTTGAATACAATGATACATGTGATTACACTTCAAATTTCGCCAAGTAACTGACATAAATTAGTATGAAGCAGGATATACCAATAGAAAATGCATTATTAGAAATACAATTAATATCTGTAAGTTAATTAGTTAAAGAAGACAATTAGGCATTCTTAAACTGGGTCCAGGATTTCGAAAAAATAACAAAATATAAGGTTTCATGCATACTAGAGTAAAGGAACAATATAAGAAAAAAGTGATTAATTAAATTTCTTTAAAATTTCATTGTATACCGAACCCTTTTCACGCGAGTGTGGTCCAACTACTGTACTAGAGTATTTTACCAATATTTATATAAATATTATAATATTTATGGGATTAATTTTTATTAGTATTGGGTAGATTTAAATTATAAGCTTATAATATTTATTAAAAACGTATATAGTAATAAAACATCACTTTGAGAGTTAATCTGAGAAAGAGTTGAAAGTATGTAGCAAAATACCGCTAGGTACCAACCGGTTATGCCAGGATTACTTTATAAACTGTATAATAAAAGGATAGTAAAATTATTTATTCATTAATAACATCAAAAATTTCAATATCGACTCAAGAATTTCAAAATGGACTATAAAATAACGGCAAATCAGGTTGATAAGACCTAGCGGTTTTCGGTGATCCTATTTCCTCGACAACACTGTAAAAACTTTAATACTTATTTGTTACTAGAATCGAATTGGTTACTTATGCTTTACTGTCATAATATGACGTCAAGATAAAGATAATAATGAACATTAAAGTTTCGATCTAAGTATACCTAACTTGTTATTTAAAACGAGTTTTAATAAAATGAGAAAATCTTGATAATATTGAGGCATTGACAAACGAGAACCCATTTTCATTCATTGCCAGTCATTGCACATTTCACTTTTATGAAGACAACGCAAACGTCGCCTACTGCAGCCTACTGCTGAGATTTGACTTAATTAAAGTACGGCCAGATTCGGTTGCCACCAAGACCCGAGACGCTTCTATTGTTTTTTAAATATATATAAGAATATCTCGGTAGAATACAATTTACATACATTCATACATTAGATTGTATTTCTTTGTTACAGTTTCGCTACGCACCAAAATTTGCGCACGATGTAGTATCAGCTTCTATAGAATTGGGATACCCACCTACCAGCGATCTTAATGGGGAAACTAGCACTGGTTTCACACTTGCACAGGCGTTTAATGAGTAAGTTCGTAATTTTTATTCTTCAATTTATTTTAGGTGAAAATAAGATATAATAGCTCTCATATTCTTAAAAAATGCATACATGGTTTCATACGTACTTTCTCGTTATTCTTGGGACAAAGAGACAAAAGTACCAAGTGCTATCAATGTATTTATTGTCTGTATATTTAAAATGTCTGTATATACTTCTTTCTATCATGTCTTTTACGCAAAAGTTTTACTTTACAATTTAACTACATAAAATTAAAGTAGCCTTTTTTGCTACTTCTTTTAGTAAGCACTAGCCTGCTTTAATAAAGAAATATTTACAATTTTGTCAATTTTTGAGAAATGAAAAACCATTTCCTACCAGCTAGTAGCAGAACTAGTTTATAACCTTCTAAGTCACTATTAAAATATAGATCGAATTATTCACAGAGATGAAGTAATATAATACTGTATACTGCTTTCGTTAGTTCCGATTAGCTACTGGTAAGTGGTGTGTTCGAATCTCCATCTAATATAGACATACCTATCTATAGATAGCTCTCTATTTTAATTCCGGAAATCATCCCTTAAGGGATTGAAAATGGGCCCGAGCGAACCGAGGGTGAGTCGCTAGTATTTTATAAAAATGTGTGCAAAAAATTATGCAGAATAGTTTTCTACTATTATAGATGATGGTTGATGATTAAATCTAAAAATGTTATAAGATCCTACTCACTGATTGAGATTAAATATGTAGATACAGGCAGCAGGAGATAGGTATTATATACACAAGTTTGTGCAGAAACTTGCACTTTGCTTAAGAATAAAGTCTTCGCTTTGCAATTCTGGCTTTGCGTGGTATAAGAGCAATGACTTTAAAACTTCTAAAGCTTTCTTGACAGAAAAATTTCGCCCCCTTCAAGTTTCATTTTCATGACAAAAAGTAAGGTCCTTCTCCAAGATTCCATCTATTTCTATACCAAAATTCTTTAAAATTGGTTCATCGGCTTAGGTGTGAAAACGTAACTGACAGACAGACAGACAGAGCTACCTTCACATTTATAATATTAAGTATGGATTATTATTTTATTTTAGTCAAGGCTCAAGGTACAGTACTGCTCGAGCGTATCTTCGGCATGCTTCGAAGAGACATAATCTGCATATACTTTTAAACGCTGTCGGATCACGAGTAATCGTAGACCCAGCTAGTAAGAAAGTGACTGGAGTGGAGTACATCAAGAATGGGATAACGAAAAGTGTCGGTGTTATAAAAGAGGTAATTATTCTTCATTTAATAATATTAAAAGAGAGTGAAAGGTAATCTAATGGAAAAACTAGTATAAAACAGACTGAATAACCGCGGCGGGTTGGCCCGAGAAAGTAGTCCTTGTCCTAATTTTTTTCCTTGCTCAGAAGTTTCATTAAGAGATAAAACGAAAATTTTCAACGCCGTTCTCAGTTCTCAGAGCGGGAATCAAACACACGACTAAGCAGTAACAATTATTTAGTCTATTTTTCTTTTATTGTCATAATTTCCTAACATTTCTAATATGTAATGTTTAAAATAATGGGTATTATATAACTTCGTATTTTAAAAATATTGATAAAAAATATTTTTCAGGCAATTTTATCAGGAGGCGCCATCAATTCTCCTCAAATACTACTTCTTTCAGGCATAGGACCGAAAGAAACTCTAGATAAATTTAATATTCCAATAATTAAAGAGTTGCCTGGAGTTGGTCAAAACCTTCATAACCATGTTGGAGTTAGGTTACAATTCACACTTAATGAACCAGATGTACCAGAATTATCATGGGATACCGCTATGCAGTACATGATGAATCGTGACGGGCCTCTATCAAGCACAGGAATGTCACAAGTATGTATAAATCAATTTTATACATTGCTTAATGACAAGAAAATGTTTGTGTTTACAATAGAATAGAATAAACTTATTTGAGACACACATTGCTCACAGACAATATAATAATTAAAAAAATCTTTATAGCTTGAGCTACATCGAAATAACGCATATAGCGTATAAATAATAAATCATTGCATGAAATGAACCATTGCATTAGGTATACCTGAGCGCAATGGTAAAAAAATCGATTTTCTGCAATCGATTTACTTATTATAGATTTTTTAATTTATAGCGAGGCAAAATAATTCAATAGTTACCGTACCTAACTGCGCAGCCTAGTTTTAAATATAGAAATGTTATACATAATTTTAGCTATAGCGTATCGTACACGCATCTACATATGTGGGCTCATTGTATTAGTAATTACATATGGTGCGAGATCCGGTATAAGAAATATATACCCTCATCTGTTATTTAATGATAATAAATAATATATGCTAGATAATGTATACATTGATACATCGTAAGTAGGTTACCTAGCTAAATCACGTGCCGATAATGTTATACAATAAAATGTTTATTCTGTATTAGGTTGTTTTATTAACACACTTTTTGATAAAGCATCCTAATACGGTTGGATTGGGAATAAAATAAGCTTTCATATAAATATGTAATTCGTTTAAATAACTTATAAGGGTATATTAATAACGCTTACTTACCTGTTTATTACATGGTAACTCCATAGTTGCGCAGAGGGGAAAGTAGGCAACCCTTATTTTCCCAATACCCTGAGGTATATTCTCTCAGCTAATACTCGACTTTCAAAAATGACTAATCAAGAAAGTTGAACATAAAAATGTAATTAAACATTTTATATTTTAACATTATTCCCACACGATTTAGTTAATCAATCTATTTGCGATGAACAATGTATAGCAGATGAGGGTATATATTTCTTATACCTGATCTTAGACCAATATATCTCTGTTTATGTTCAAACCCGCACATAAAAATTTGTAAAACTTTTATCAATTACAAATTCTAGACGGGATTTTTACTTATTACAAATTGTTTTAACTAATATGAACGTTAAAGGAAAATAAATAAATTAAAAAATTAATAACATGAAAAACTTCTTTAATAAATGTGTATACATCATCTACTGATGAATTTTTCATTTCACTCAGAAGCACGAGGGTGTAACAATGCAAACTTTTGAACTACATAGAAGTACTCAATTACTATACTTGACCAGAACCGGGAACTCGAACCCAGGACCTACTGACCTGCAGCCCTACATGCTAGCCACTTGGAACTTTGTTTTATAAAATATAGTGTTACTTACGAAAAACTCGTTATATAGTTAACAGGTAAAGTAAACTCCCGCCTGGCGCCATCCGGCGGGCGACAGCCGGACGTGCAGTTCTTCTTCGGCGGATACTACGCCTCATGCGGCTCGTGCTCCGGGGGAGACCGTCAACAATTACTTAAAGAAAGAAAATTCAGATCTATCAGGTAATATAGTATCAGCAAAGTATCTATATATATATGTCGTGTTATCCATATACTACGAACATCATCTTTGGTGGTTACTCATCTTGTGGGCTTTATCAGGGCTCAAATAATAAAGTATTCAGTGCTCAATACACAATTTAATCAGGGAAGTCACAATGTTATAAACTTGAAACGGTAATTCTAATGATTTAGAGCTAGCGGGTTCACAGTCACCGATCATCGACTTCCAACTACAATATCAAAACAAAACTATGATCCACCATAGTCAACCGACTTTACTAAACCACGTATCTGCAAAGAATGTCGTGATGGCGTCTCGACCCCGCTCGAGACTAAATCTCTGCTCTAAATTCAAAATAACTTTAAAAGCAATAAAAAGTAAATTAAAGAACATAGTGACTTTAAACAATAATAAGGTTTCATAACCGAAAAAGGTAACTAAATCCTCCTCCGTCTCGGCCATCCTGCTGTTCACACGCCCTCGTGTGATCTTGAAAGTCTAGCATAAACGTCATCTGTAGACAGAAAAAAGCAAATTTTTAGAAAACATTGTTCGGCCAATCCTGACCAAATATGACCACAGTGGCCAATCTCACTGATATAATAATCGGTGCAGTAGATATTACATTGCAAAAGTGTACTTAGTACAAACAGACACCCTCAAATTCCAATGTACCTAACACAATGAGTGTTGGGTAAATATTTAGTTTTATATGTTAACAATAAGGAGCGATTCACATCAAACTTCATTCATTCTTCCTAACTAGTTTTCCTTAAGACAAATTTCTCAAAACCTAATTTTTAAACTGTCTAAAACCCTAAAGACTATACACACAACTTACGTATCATTGAGTACAAGTTACAGAAGTAAGTGTCTCATATGTTAATCAAGTTAAGTCAGTGCCACACAAATCAATTGATGCGACAGAACCCAACCGATGCCACACAGACAACTCTCGCCATTCAGGCTACATGTGCCACATAGGTTACTTTTGCCACACAGGCAACTCTCGCCACTCAGGCTACATTTGCTACAAAGACTCGTCAATGCCAAATAGGCACCCCATTGTCTAAATACCACCTTCCACCATCGTCGCACAGCAAAATCAGAATCATACAGCCTCATCGTGCTACTTCGGCTTGTCAATGTTACATAACTTCGTCAATTCAGTCACTCTAGCTTGTGCTACGTAGGCTCATTAATGTTAAGCTGCTAGATATTATTGGAAATAAGTACGATCACAACCGTCTTTAATAGTACATTCGGAAATCACTTGCCTCACACACCTAAACAAAATGGAAACGTCTCACAATATAATATTCTGAATATTAGATTAAATAAAAGAGTCCACAGATATCCATTTTTTGCACAGCCCAAGCATCTCTGGATACCGTCTTCTTTTAGGGCATTGTATACGTCTGGCTTAGCGTGATTTATTTATCTGGCTGAAGAAATCGTCCTCTCTACGCTGAATACATATTTTGAACACTTGAAACAAAGCACCTGAAAATTCATATTATTTAATATGGTGCCACAGTTGTTATTACCATCGGCCCGATCTAATTATGCTTAATCTTTCGACCAAATAAGGACATGTGAAATCGGTATTATAATCAAAGATTTCTATCTCAGCGTGCGTATGAGAATGTCTTCGGAGTGTACACAAACATTACTTTTACGGTGCATAACCATTAATACTAAAACAGCTCAGAAGGGTTTTCCAGGAAGACAAATATTTGGCAATTAACAATTATATTTCTCGCTTTTTCTGTATACTCATTATACATTTATATTTTATATTCCTAACTCATATAATCCGAATCACCGACTGTCCACTTGACATATCAAACATCTATATTTAAAATCTACGAACTGGCACATAAAATAACTAAATGTTACAGTCGGCCATCCGTTACAATAACGAGTCCCTTCGTTTTAGGCCACACTAAGTAAAAAAAAAGTTTCACAATTCATTACAATTCACTCATCTTACATTAAAAAAAGTTTGTTGAATCCTGCTACTCTCTATTTCTATCTCTAATCTGTTTGTTCTTAACAATAATCAAATATGCTGTTAGATTTTTATCGGTAAATGTATCTTCAGTAGAGGCGTGCACCCAGTGGTACAATCCTCATCTTCACTCTGTGAATCTAGTCGCTAGGTTCGATTTACTATTTCTCTTAAGGCGAGAGAATCATAGACTGCCCACCCCCTTCAGCTCGGCAGCTAATTGATTTATATGTCGGTCCAATCTGGCTTGATAATTATTGCTGTTTAACTCGACATCTTCCTTCACTATTTGCAGATTGAAATCTAGGTTAACATATTTATTACTTATATTTGGTGGAACATTGATCATGGTTCTCATTGTTTTGCTCTGAAACCTTTCGAGTATTTCAATATTACTATGGCTGGCTTTGACCCAGAGCTGAATGCCACAACTCCATATAGGCTTTCCGCTTTAGTATAGCTTTATAGATATTACATAGCCATTTTACTGTCATTTGTCAACGATGACTTACGACTGATGAACCAATATATGCTGCGGAATTTGTGTCTAGCTGTTTCCTTTTAGTCCATATGTGTTTGCGCCAAGTGAGTCAACGGTCGAGATGTATACCTAAGTATTTGGCGTCATCAGATTGTGGGATCTCTCTTTCACAGGAGGGTAGGTTTTCCTTCTAAATGTGTAAGTTACTTCAATCGGTTTATTTGTATTGGCTTTAATGCGCCACTGCTGGAACCATGCTTCGATGAGAGTCAGGTGTGATTGGAGTCTTACAGATCGGGTCTCAGGAATCGGGATTCTCATGGGTCGAAAGAAGTGAGGTATCATCTGCGTATGTCGCTGTAATGGTATTGGCGTAGAGGGTAGATCTGATGTAAATATTAAATAAAGAACTGGTCCCAGTATGTTACCATGACCTAAGGTATTTCTATTTCATTTTATAGATTTTGATTGTTGCTGGGGAGTGGTTCGAAGACTGTATGTAGGTGATTAGCGTCGATCTTAGTTTTTTCACAGTCTGAGCGTACACAAGAACCCGTTTGTGTTCTCAATGGTGTACTTTGTTGTTTTGGACGCTTTAAAATTCTGGTAGGCTTCCACAACGAATAGTTCGGATCACTAGTATGTGTCAGTCTTGCGAGATATGATTGTAGTTTCTCATTTTCCACATCTTTGGTTAGCGTCTTTAGTTCTTGTGAGGCTTTATTGAAGGCTGTCTTATCTCTAAGATAGTGGGTGGTGTGCCATACTCCCCTGAGTCTACGTCTTTCGTTGATACATTTCTTAATGAACGCGAGGTATATATGTTCTTTTGCAGTTCCCGCTTTATGATGGGACGTAGATCTGTTCGGTACGTCATGAATCAATCGGTTTAATCCTTCTATGGCCTGATGGAAAAAAGGTCATTGTGAGTCACGGGTACGCCTTAAATATGCTAGAGGAATTACTCCTATTCTTTCACTAACATCTTGTTTTAAATCTCATGGCATAATCGCTATAGCTATCCTATCACTACAACTTGACAAGAGGATAGTTACTTCTATTCTTTCACTACCATCTTGCTCCAAGTCTTATGACCTGATATCGCTATAGTTATTATATCACTAACTTCAACTAGAGGATAGTTACTTCTATTCTTTCACTACCAACTAGTTGAGTAACCAGTCATACATAACACTCATGCTCGGCGCACATCCGCTCGAGCTCTTAGTTATGCAGACAGGTTCACTACCTATTTGTCTCTACAATATTAATAAAAATACTCCTCATCTCCATCAAAAGTCATACTCATCAAATAAATAAATAAACAGAACTTCCCGTGTTTAAAGTTTGGCCAATGGTGATCACTACAGCTCTGCCCCCTACTTCGCAAATAGTGAACACTATCTTGTCGGCTCTCGTGTCCGATCGGGCTTCGGCTGCAATGCTCGCCCTCACAAGCTCTTAGCTTCTACTATCTGATTACGTAGAACATACAGGGGACGATTTCTTATCTCCGTCGCCTCATTTCGTCAAATTCGCCTGCATCCATCTAGAACTTGTACACACAAATATCATTAGTTTATTATATTTTAAAACTTTGTGATATATCAATTGAAGTGCTTAACAAATAAAAAATAATAATTAGTAGTATTTCATAGATTTGTTCAAAAATAAATCTATGTTCTTCGACTTTTTTTTTATTTTTATTTTTCATAGGGGTTGATTGTAAAGACCATGCCACCCTTATAGGAAATACAATTTTTTTTTATCTATTCTACCTTTTTAATACTAATTGCACAATTTTATACGGCATCTTTGCTTGACCCGATTGGGGTGTTACAAACACAAACATCCATTTTATTTAGCTTACATGTTTCAAAGAAATATATTCTGCCTGCCTCATTCTGAACACATTTCAATAAATTATGATTAGTATCTTCCACAATCCCACACTCAGCGCAATCTGTCGAATTTGACTTGCCCATTAAAACCGCAAAATAGTTCAATGGAAGGTGACCGGAACGAAGCCTAAAACTAGTTTCAGTATCATATCTACTCATATCGGCCTAGCTGACTCATGAGAAGCGTCCTATGGTAGGTTGAATAGTTTTATACCCAATACTTTTATGTAACAGTTTTTCACTAAGATATTCCTTCCACATTTTCTAATCATTGTATTTTTATTAAAAACAAAACATCTGACCAATATGGTAAGTATGTAGTATACACGGAATACCTTCTGTTATGGCTTCTCTTGCAAATTTTTCTACTATTTCATTATTTTCTAGGCCGATATGTGAGGGTACCCACTGTAGTACTATTTGTTTATTTTTACAATGGAGATTACTTAATAACTTAATAATTTCATAAGCTATAGGCATTCCTCTATAGGCTAGAGTACACCGATTCAAATGTAAAAGAGCACTTCAAGAATCAGCCAGTAATACTTCTCGTAATCCCAGAAATCAATATAGGACAGAGCTTCAGCAGTAGCAATGAGTTCAATA